ACCATAGGGTAACTTGGTCTTCCATTTTTTATAATTAATCTTTTTTGGTTCCATGTTATGTTAATCCATTTTCTCTTTTCATGTCATAAAGTGCTATACGTGGTGAATTTTCTACCGTACTACACCTTTACTATGCATGTCATCACATAAAATTCGTGAACTCAGAATGGGACGTGGTTCTGAGGTGTACGGTGTACCTAAAAAAGAGAAATAAAACTGGATTCTAGAAGCTTATCGATTCAAGAATACAAGGAAATAAGCAAACATCTCGTGACAAATCCTTAAAGCAATTAACTAGATATAATGCTTTTTAAGAAATCACGTTATAGTTTAGGCTTTTACAGGTAGAATGATCAATAACCGAGTGATAAGCTCATGATCTGGAAAACGCCATTTTAAGATTGATATTAAAAAAATTGATTAAAACACACTTATCCCACAACTACTTTTTCCTTTTTGATATGTGCTACAACCACTTTTGTGTGTGTGTGTGTGACACATTAGCTTTCAACAAATGTTTGTTCTAAGAACATAAATATCTTTGTATTCTTATACTAATTGGGTAACTTGCTGTCTAGTCATGAGATCAGTTGCTTACCCATTGTTCTTCAAGTTTCAAAATTGAACATGGCCACAAAAGGTTCAAGCTCTTCTGCTTCTGCTTCTGCTTCAGGGGACGCTAAAATCAAAAGGGTTCTTATCCATGGTGGTAAATATGCACAGTACAATGTGTATGGAAACTTGTTCGAAGTGTCCTCCAAGTACGTGCCTCCTATTCGCCCAATTGGTAGAGGCGTTAATGGCATCGTTTGGTAAGTGTTTTATTTTCTTCATCGTAGGTAGGATCCCAAATTAAATGCATAAATTTGATTCGGTTTAGTGAAGGACACACGAAAATAAATAACAAATTTTTATCAAAAGTTATAGAGTTTAAGTTACACAATTAATTTAAACACTTATTTAGCAAATTCTTTATAAGCAACAATTTATATCATAAATTTAACAATAAAATTTTGTGATATGTTAAGATTTTTAATGAGAAATTGGTAGGTTAGAAAAATTGATTTGATAATTGTTGGTTTGGAAATGATTTTATGTTAACTTGAACAATTTTTCATTTTAGTGCTGCTGTTAATGCCGAAACACACGAACAAGTTGCCATCAAGAAGATTGGTAACGCATTTGACAATATAATTGATGCTAAGAGGACGTTGAGAGAAATCAAGCTCCTTCGTCACATGGACCACGAAAATGTAAGTGCTCATCTCTTGTTGTGTTCCTTTTTTCCCTCCTGTTTACCCCTGCAAACTGAGGACGTGATTTTTCAAACATATTTCATACTTAGTAATCATGGTGCAATTATTTTTATAATTTCATATGATACTATTCTCTTACATATTTAGTATTCCCTTTAACCTTTTTTTACGGTCCCTTTTAAAAGGTTTTAACATTTTCTTTTACAAAACACTTTGTAATTTTTATGAAGTATTTATTATTAATTTTTTAGTGGTCCTTAATAAATAAATCAATGAAATTTTAAATTAAAACCAATAAAGATAAATGTTGATAATAGTTAGGTTTATCATGTTATAATATTTTTAAAATATTAAAAATATTAGTTTATGCGATTCAGTTAAAGATGTCTTATAAAAATGACTGGATGAAGTACATGTGTTCCTTCTACGATGCTAATTTGTAAAAACAAATTAGAGAATTGGGCTGAAATTAATGGCCTTAGCAAGTTCTTCAGATGTTCCTTGCCAGCAGTGCTGGGGCCTGGGGGTTGAGTTTATTATTATTATGCTTATATTTCAACTTGTCCTAAGATGAAGTACTGTATAAACATAGATCAGACTACTATGTCTATAAAATAAATAAAAGAAATCAAACTGCTCTATGGGAATGAAGTCAATAAAATGTTTAATATATTTCACAATTGACAAACCCCCGAAGCCAGTTTCCAATAGAAATTTTAATTCAAAAACTGCTTCTGAAAAAACGGAAGCTTGTTCTCCATTTATAAATTTTTTGTTTAAATATTTGAAATTGCTATAATTTTTCACAGATCATTGCCATCAAGGATATCATACGGCCCCCCAAAAAGGAGACCTTTAATGATGTATACATTGTTTATGAATTGATGGACACTGATCTTCATCATATAATTCATTCTGAACAACCTCTGAGTGAAGAACATTGTCAGGTTTGGCTCCAAAGATATTAGTGGATAATACATGCCATTTTTAATTTCTTTTAAAGCGAGTTTGTCTTGATTATATTCTGTAACATAATATCTACCTTTTGTTATTAAAAATATTGATATAACCCTTGTACTGTTCTTGGATGTCGGCAGTTTATTAAAACATTTAAATTAGGAGCATGCTTTAATGTTGGATTATCATAAACTCTGGCGCGAGCATATATGGCTTTAGCATTCATTTTCTGTACAGAACATCTATGGAAGTTAGCATCCATATTCTGTACACAAAATCTATGAAAATCAATGGTATTGTGAATATATTTTGGAGTAATGAAAATTCCTTTTAAATAGAACAAAACTTAGGTACAGTTCATTAAGTACTTGAGGTGTCGTTTTTCAACTAAAATTAGAGTTTCATCTTGCTTACACACTAAAGGTTGGCATTAAAAGTCAATGCAAGTTATAAGGTAAAACTTTCATTTAGATAAGAGGAAATAATATCTAAAGAACAATATCTATGTTTTGTTCTTTTTATTCCATTACAGTGTGACACATAGTTGCCTTTGCTAACTCAAAGAACTGTTGTAAGTTAGAAACTTATCTTTTGATATAACGTTCACATGTTAGACTAATTTTGAAGTGTGAAGGAAATGGATCAGATAAATAGATAATCTTAAATATATAATCTCTTTTCTTTACTATGATCATAAGACATACTAATGTCATACAAAACTCGCCTCAAGAAATATTTTCTTTGGATTTCTGCTTTTGACTGAGTTTTAAATCAAGCAAGGAATTGATATTTGAAGAAACTTCTGCAGTACTTCTTATATCAGCTGTTACGGGGGTTGAAATACGTGCACTCAGCTAATGTTTTGCACCGCGATCTTAAGCCTAGTAATTTACTAATGAATGCAAACTGTGACCTCAAAATCGGGGACTTTGGTTTGGCAAGGACAACCACTGAAACAGATTTCATGACAGAGTATGTTGTCACAAGATGGTACCGAGCCCCAGAATTGCTCCTTAATTGTTCTGAGTACACTTCTGCAATTGATGTTTGGTCTGTTGGTTGCATACTTGGTGAAATTATGACCAGAGAACCCTTGTTTCCTGGGAAAGACTATGTTCATCAACTAAGGCTTATAACCGAGGTATGGTTTTGGCGCTTCCATTTTGGGTTATGCTCCACTGAAGCATGCTAAGTTTCTAACTCATGAATTGCATTACCTGTTTGTCTCATTAGTTATTTGGAAACTCACTTTCTTAACAGAGAAAAATAACTCCCTTGACCTTCCTAACATTCTTAATGACTCTTCTCTTGTGTGCTTATCCCTACTTAGTTTATTTCTTACTTTCATGATTAACTTCAGGAATTGGATACTGTGTGAGATTTTCACACTGAATACCTTGAGAAACTTTTTAAATTTGTATAGAATTGGCATCTTTCCAACACTATAGAGCATAACCATGCTGTTCTTATTCTTCTTGTTTCTTGTTGACCATCTATTACTAATTTACTATTGGTGATGAATCGCAGCTAATAGTTAGTTACACTGCAATAAACCAAATCAGCTAATATATTTATTTGTAGTAATATCATGTTCTATCTTGCATCTTATTGTCAAGCGAATTTGAGGAAAGTGTGTAAGCTGATTTTCTAGTTCCTTGAAAATTGTTGGATACAAGTTGTTGCACCATTCATACATTCAATTTTCCTTTTGCACAAAAGTTATTAGGTTCACCTGACGATGCAAGCCTTGAATTTCTCCGAAGTGATAATGCTAGAAGATATATTAGACAGCTTCCACAGTACCGGAAGCAAAAATTCTCTGCTAGATTCCCTAACATGTTGCCTGAGGCATTGGATCTGCTAGAAAAGATGCTTATCTTTGATCCAAACAAACGCATTACAGGTATGTATTCTTTGTCCAATTTTAGTTAAATATAAATGGTCTCATATGTTTCACATTAATGTGGTATTTTCATTTTTATCTGCAGTTGATGAGGCACTATGTCACCCATATCTTTCATCACTTCATAACATCAATGACGAGCCAGTGTGTCCCAGGCCATTCAGTGTTGATTTTGATCAGCCAACATGCACTGAAGAGCATGTGAAGGAGCTCATATGGAGGGAATCAGTGAAGTTCAATCCAGATCCACCCTGCCAGTAATTCTTTCTTGGTTGAATGAATGTAACAACATGAACCTCTTTCCCCTTAAATATATTGCCTGTCCATCATCCATGTGATTTGCTAAGGACAAATTGAAGTTCTCTTCCTTGTAATCTAGTCATAAACCAACAAGGATATGGAAACAAATTTCTCTTGGAAAATGGGTAATCGTTAGAGTTGGATGTTACAGGCTTTTATGAAAGTAATAAAAAAGCAGTGTTGTATTGTGCTCAAGTTTGATTTAGGAGAGAGAAAGGGTGTCAGGGCAAATAGGATAGCAAAATTGTTGGTCTGTCATGAGCCTCTTTCTTAGTACATGACAATTATCTTTAAATGCCGCTTTCAAGTTTCAATGTTTAGATAAGATGCTTAACTTTCTTTCACGTGTGGTGATTGATGATTCTTCTTGTTTCATGGCTGTGAGGGTTGTGTTGGCAAAGTAATACGATAAAATAACACTAAAGAGTTGTAAATCAATAATCAGTTGCATGATCTGCACTTTGAATGCAGCATTAGCTATCAAATAATTGTGTGCACTTTGCTTAGTACCTATTTATGTGTTTTGCATGGTTAATGCAAAAAATCAATGAATTTCACGATCAGATGAAGAAAAATTTGCATTTATTATTGAGTCACTTCTGTTTAATTTTTGATGTTTCCCTTGTTTACATTCTTATACAAGTCTCCAATGTTTTAAATACAAACAATTTTTCAATTTTTGAAGTAATACATTGTTTGATTTGGAATTTTCCTTGCACTGATCCGTTCCTTTTACACTGTCATAAATTCCTTCTGTAAGTGCACGTTTGAACCTTGATATCTTCTATGGGCAAAGTTTCTTCTGGGAAGGTACATGCCCCAATCTTATCTAATCCTTGATCTGGCAACAAATCACATGGCAGAGGAGTCACACCACTTGAAATCCCAGCAATATCAGTGCAATTCCATGGAACCTTTTTAGCCTTCTTTGCCAGTTGAATGGTTACATTGGATATGCAGATTCCAGTAAATGGATCACCAGATATACCCTCTAATCTTGCTGCCATAGTGACATTCTCAGCTACCATATCGCGATAATTAATATTCTGAATCAGAGGAAGTGCATTGGGATCATAGTTATCATCAGCATGAGACCCATAATTTCCAGTCATCCAAAATGCCCATTTCATGGTTATCATAGTCATTCTTCTAACATATATGTCCTTCACGTAGCCTCCTCTTCCTACAGCAGTTTTGATCCTCACCCCTGATTCTGTATTGATGGCTATAATGTCTTCAGCTCTCACATCCTGAATCCCACCAGACATTTCACTCCCTAAAGCAATCACAGCACTGAATGGAGAAATACAAGTGAGCCTTCTGATTACCAGCTGTTTAGTTGGCATTCCAAAAGCTATACCATACTCATCCCAACCACTCTTCACAGCCACACAATCATCTCCCGATACAATATAACAATCCTCAATTCGCGTGTTTGTGCACGAGTCTGCATCACAACCATAAACCTTATTCAGTTTCGCTAACATGTTTTATACAATATAATATCATCTAGGAAAAATATGATCTTTTCTTAAATTACCAGGGTTGATTCCATCTGTATTCGGGGATGTCACAGGAGCTAGAATTGTGATTCCTGGAACAATAACGTTGCTGCATTCAAATTTCTTAGTTAAAAAAAATGAAACAATATTGTTGAAATCAAGTGTGAATTAAGTCACATATAAAATGGGATATGAGTAAGTTAATGATTTATATAGAGATGGAGCCATGTACCCATTGCCTTAAGGTTTTGGGGTTGCAGTCCTACTCATTGTAAGGCTCCCTACTCTTTAAAAAAACTCAACAGTGCGACCAAGGGAGTTGACGGTGTAAAAAAAAAAAACTTCTCATGTGGAAGGAGCATATCAGCTGATATGGACAGATATGTTCATTTTAATTGATAAATTGTACTAACAGCAAATATAAATAATAGACATAGCAAAGAGACTATGAACCTGCTATATACAGGATGGACATTCCACGATGGAGAATTAACCAAAGTGAGATTGGATATCTGAACATTATCTGAGTACATGATTTCAATTAGGTAAGGCCTGGTATAATTGAGCTGTCCATTGTGGAATTTTTGCCACCATAAGTCACCTTGTCCATCTATTGTTCCATTACCCCCTGGAAATAAATTCGAATTCAATAATTAAAAGAATCAAAATTTTAGTTGGACTAAATTTATAACCCCAAAAGCACAACTTCATTACCAGTTATGACTACATCAGTGAGGTTGGTTCCAAAAATTAGACTGCTAAACCTTCCACCTTGGGTATCCCTCCCTCTACCATAAGATGGCAAGGGATCAATCACTGGCCAGTCACATTCATCCTAATACCATAGTTTTGACAAAAACATAATATCAACACACATAAATTACATTAAGTGAAAAATAATATTAGCAAATTTACCAGCAAGAGTTAAGCAATGAAACCTGAGAACCAAGAATTACAGCATCCTTGTGTAGGAATAAAGTGAAATGGCTTGTGACATTGAAACTACCAGTTAACCATCTTCCTGGGGGAAGATAAAGTTGAGACCCACCATTTGATGCATATTGGCTCAAATAATCTATAGCTGTCTGAAAGGCTTTTGTGTTCAAAGTTGTTCCATCACCAACCCCTCCAAACTCTATCAGTGAGGCACTGTAAGCTCTGCAGCTCACGGAGCCGTAATCAAAATAGTCCAGAACTGGTGCTTTGCGGCTCTCAACTGTTGTCAGGCTTGGCAAAACAACCAAGAGTGCAAATAATGATAATAATAACACATCCATAACCTGTCAAACAATTCATATGTATTCCAAGGCATCAACTCAAATTAGAGGTTCTTGTACTACTATATCTCTTAATGCTAGGAATTAAGAAATTAAGATGAAGGTAAAGGAGTGGTTCTTGTACCTGAATTATTTTGGAGGAAGAATAGATGTGGCGCTGAGTTGTTGGTATGTCTACATAGAAAGACATTGTAGGTGTGTGTGTGCGTATATACTAAGTATTATTTTTGGCTTTCATTTTGTGCGACCCCACAAATCCTATTATTCCTTATTTGTCATGTGATAACTGGAACGTAACTTTTAAGGTGAAGTTCGCTAATTTAGTCCGTTCTACTTCTTTGGATTCAATTCGACGGTGAGTGAACGATCAGGGATAATTATTAAACAAATAATTACTCGATCCCGTTATTAACTTTTTCGTTGGAATTTGTGAATTCTAAGCTTAAAAAGAAAGCAGCTGTGGGAGCTTGAACTTTCTATTGGGAGACATATAGGTACGACGAGGCTTTTGTCAACCAGTGATCATATCTTATGTTAAACTAACAAATGAAAAAAAAAATTATGTTAAAAGCACATTAAAAATTATAGTAACAGTGCATTAATTATACTATTTTATTACATAGCAAATTAGATCTACGAAGGTAAAAGATTAAATATTTCCATTATTGAGTTTGAGGTCTGATTCGGCAAATGATGCTGGGGTGTGACGAGGATTGAGGGAAATAATGAATTGGTATGCAAAATTTGGAAAGATACACTGAACTGAACAGATTTGATTTGAAGACACGATTCATTAACAGTGTTGACTATTGAGTGTATATTTATGCAAGGGAGCAATGCCATTTTACTAATTTCAGTTTCACCTTCTAATCTTCTATTGTTTTCCATGTTGAAGCCATTTTAATTTTCTCCTCCATGAGTGGTTCTCCTTCTCTAGTCTCCCACTTACATGTTTCTTTGAAGTCTTAAATTGGTCCATTATCGATTATAGCGGAAGAGTGGCGTGACCAATATACTATGCTGTAACGTGCATCAATCTGTGCCTTATCTTCTTCCACTGAATAAAAATATATAAGACTTATCTGCCACTATTCTTCGACGTACTCATTTCAATGGTGGACATTATATTGACACTATCTCCCATTACCCTTTGTCCTTAATTTCTTAATTATGTAGAATAAAAGTAAATTGAGTGCAAGTATGGTGTGGATGGTGCATAATGTTAGTAATTTATAATGGGAAACAGCATTCTTTTGTTGGGGGAGGAGGGTCCACATTGTCACGGAACATTGTCGGAATGTGTCTACATTACCTTCCATTGCCAACCCGTGAATATTTTTCTGGTTGCAGAAACAAGACACTCCCAGTGGCCAACTTCACGGGCCAAACTTCATTTTCTTGAAGGAAATTTCTGGTTCACTTTCCATAATTAAAAAAGAAAATTATCAAGATCAAGAATTAAGATAATTTGTATGTAATAAAAAATAAATTATTGATAAAGATTTTAAATTTGTATATTAACAAATAATAGAATATATTAATATTTTATATTAATTTTTGTACTAATAAAATTATTTATTAGTATAATATATTATATTGTCAGTATTTATACTGATAATTTATTTTTTAATTAAAAAATAAATACTAACAAAAGTTAGTTTAATATTAAATCATTAATAAATGAAAATTTTGTATACATTATTATTTATTTTTAAAAATTAACATCTAATAAAAATAAATTTCCCAAATTAATATTGTGAATAACTAGTTTATCAAAATTTAAAAAGAATAACATTCACTCGACATATGATTTGTTTTCTTGGCTCTACAATTCTAACCAATTTTGCTCATTCTAACTTGTTTAAACTTTTTAAAATCTTTAATCTGACCTTAGTTTTGTTATTGTTTCAACTTGTACCCATCTTCTTAAATTTTAGAAGTCATAGGTCTGTTTTCTTAAGTTGCTCCAAAATAAACAGAAGACAAGTACAAAAAGAGAGATAATTACTCCTGAAATATCCTTTGGTGTTTACTTGTATAGGGGTTAGACCCAAAGGATGTGTTTGACGCACATAAAAGAAAAATACAAAACGGTTAACACGGTATAAGAAGTAGTCTTAGAGGTTATGCAAATTTAGAGTTGCCACTCACAAGGAGTGTGAAGTTTGATTAGAGAATTTGTGTTCATTGGATGAACTTGTAAGCTCTTCTTTCATCCTATTTAATTATTTATCTCTTTGTTTTGACTATAACATCTCAATTGATAAAATAAGATAAAAACATACACTTTTTTCATACACACCTAATTGGGAACTTAATTTTATTGCTTGTAATATGTGTTAGGGCTTGTGGAACATGATATTTTTGGCTAAGAGTATAGGATCAATTTACCTAAGTATAAGCAATTTTATGTGTCCAACTGACATACAAGTTGAATTGAACATAGACTCCTAGTCCTTAAGATATTGTTATTTTCTGTCAAAGTCAACATGTATTTAACATCTCTAGTTTCACGGTTTTTTTTTCTTCTTATTTCTCCCCCCACTTATCATCGCTTACATATATTTAATTAGTTAATTGGTTTGTAATTGAGAAATTGATAAAAATTTAAGAGAGAGTGATACTTTTACTATTCATTTTATTACTTATGCGACCCATATATTTGTAGAATGCGTGATACGTACCCAGCACTAGCTACTAATCCGATTGAATTCTCTGGTTGGTCTCCGTTAGTGTTGATGAGGTTTAGTCAAATTGATAGGTTTTTTGGACATTTGGACAGTGATGAGTGTCGAACTAAAAGTTAATTATTGATTTATTGAGTAACAAATATTTCATTTTTTCCCTTCAATTTTTAAAAATTTTCCATTTTATGATTATTTTTAAAATCAACAATGAAATATGGATTTTTGTATCATTCACACTTAATAGAATAGGGGATGAACTAACGAAATACCATCCAATTTATTATGGGAAAGTCACTGGGCCCAAATAATACTCATTTAAGAGGTAAAGCCAAATTTTGCTACCAAAAAGAGTTGACAAAAAAATACAGAAACAATAAAATGGATCGTCACAGAAAGCGTTTTTTTATTTTTTATTCTGGACCAAAAAAGCCCTATTCCATTAAGTCAGTTGATTCGCTGGTAATCAACCAGATACCAAGATGAGTTTCCTTTACGCATACTAATTAATGCTGGAACCACATGGGAAAGACAATCCAAAACGACATATTCAAACTCACGTCACTACGCAAAAAGAACTATATTAATAGGGTAGTGTATTGAATTATTTTCCTTTAATATAACCTTTAGTTAACAAATAAATCATTAATATAAACATTGCGAATTTATGTTAATAATATAATACCATAAAAATAAATAAATCTATTAACCATGAAAAGAATACTTTCAATATATAAGATGCTTGTATAATGGTATTATTCTCAACTCACAATATTTGTGTTAGTAATTAATTATCAATAAAAAATTGTATTAATGAAGATAATTATAATGTCTATTTTTTTTATTAATAAATAATATTTTAATAATTATGAAGGAGTGCAAGGTGTAAAGCTTTTTTCTCACACCTTAAGATTTAGAATGTGTTTTGACATTTGATTATTTATTATTTTTTAAAATAACATGTAATAAATTTAATAATAAAATTTGTTGAGATAAACTGAAAAAATTAATTTTAATAAAAAATAATTATTTAAATAAATTAAAAAAGTTATATAAGTTGTATAAGTTGTTCATAAATTATTTTAAACATACCTTTGAAATAATATATCATTTTAATTTCGAAAATTACAAATTTTTATTAGTTTAGTCTTTAAAATTGTAAAAATTAATTTTTAATTCCTAAAATTATAAACATTATTTAAATTAGTCCTTAAAATTATAAATATCACTCAATCCAATCATTAAAATTATGAAATAAAATTGGTAATCCTTAAAAATTTATCATTTTAACTTTTAAAATTATAGACATCTATCAATTTAGACCTTAAAATTATGATAACGATTTCTAGTTCATCACATTAAATTTTAAAAAAATGCACTCCTTTTTTTTTTTCAAAACATTTTAACCATATGTTAATTTATCAAGTTAACCATTAAATAATAATTACATGATTGTCCATGTCGTTAAATAACATAAATTTATTTTATAGTGTTGTTTTTAAATATATAGTAAGGAAGGATATGTCTTTAGAATTGAGCTTCTTCTATTACTTTAATTTTATTCTAAAATGTATAGAAAGAAACATTCTATAAAATGCCAATTCATTCAAAATTACTTCATACTTTTATATACCAAAACTTTTATCAAAACTTTAAATACTGAATTACTTAGATGCTTGTAATTTTAAATGTTAAAACATTAATTTTTTAGAGATAAAAATTTTATTCTATAATTTATCAATTAAAATAAATAGTGTTTATAAAAAGATTAAATAAAATAATATTTATAATTTTAAAAATTAAAATGACCAAATTTTTTTATTTTAATTATATTTTTTTTCATAACTTGAGAAATTAAATTAAAATATATCTATAATGTGAAGAACTAAAACAAACAGAGCTAAATGATTGTTTTTAATAATTTTAGAGGTTAATTTTTTATATAAGTTTAAGAAATAAATTAATAAATCTAAATAATTTTAAAGACTAAAATTATATATTATACTAAAATTTGTCTTTCTTTTTTTTTTTTTTTGTTCAACTCTATGAGTTATGTTCGATTCCTACTTTTGCACGATTCAGGTTCCGTTTGAAAATAAGATAAAAACAATTCCTATAAAATCCAAAAATAATAGCTACAGTTGAAAGTACTCTATGAAATTCTGATACCATTAATTTTGTAGTAAAAATTCGATTTGTGACTCGTAAATTATAAACCAATCAAGCACTCTATAAAGAGCTGTATGATTAATTTAATCATACCTTGCCACGGCTGGACGCTAATTACTCTCTTGTTAAATAAGCTGCACTACACTCTAATGTTTTGCAAAATCATCAACAAGATATTTACAGTTAAACTGTAGACAAATATTAAAATATACATGCATGAAACAACTCCTCAATTCCAAACAATTAGCTAATTATAACACCACTGTCAGTTAAATTTGGTAATAAATCAAATTAACTCAAAATTAGTCTGATAGTCCGACTTGTTAATTAGCTTGGACTGCAATTAGGTTAGTTAAATAAATAATTTGAACTTTAACATGTATACTATATTTTAATTTATTTGGTTCGTAAACTAACTTAATATACATACATTATGTAAATATATAGAGAACATCCAATATTTATATAACATATATGAATGTATGATGGATGATATTTATGTAAATTGTGTTATTTTTAACTTTTACTTAATCTATTTATATATGTATTTCAAATTCACAAGTTGAAATAAATAATTTGAGCTTAAATTGAGTTGAATTTAAACTAAAAAATTGGTTTATACTAAACTCGGTTAAAATGGTTATCTCATTTTCAATATTAGTTGGTAGGCATATTACATTCTATAAAATGATGAAAATTTGATTTTATAGTTTGAAATATTGCAAAAGTAGTATTTTGCCAGATTAACCATCATCTAATTCTTAGTAAGAAATGTATAGTTTGGAATTAATTATGATATTTAGATAGCAAAAATGACCATAAAGAGAAGTTAAATCTTAGTTTTTTCCAAATTAAGGCGATCAATCAACTCTACAAGGAAGGAGCTAGTAAACAGGCTACACAAATCCTTTGATCATGCAAGCAGATCAACATATTATCACAGGATAGAGCAAGGAAGCGTGTGTGTGTGCGCCCAATGTTTTTACTTTCTGAAGTAAACGCGAGGGAAAGGAAGGAATTGATAAAGAAAACGGAAATTAAAGCACCCCAGAGAGTTGTAAGCTCATAATTAAGAAGAAGAAGAAGATCAAGGAAAGTAAATCTTAATTAGATTAATATGAAGAGTAAATTACTAAATGTTGACAAGCAAAAGTAACAATCTGATCATGTCATTAAAACCAGTATGCAATGAAGTGAATCAGCAGAAAATTCGCAAAGCTCAGGCAATAATATGCAAACCAGAAAGTTGTATTGTAGATAATGAATGTTTCTCTTGCTGGCTTTTAAGAAACATAATGCATGTGATGAATTTAAAAAGTTCCGTACTAACTGAATTTAAATATGAAATGTGAGAAAGTTATCAACTAACACAAAAATAAAAAGGAAATATCACTTATTTAATTTGTTGAAGTACAGCAGAAATAACTCTTACATTCTTCACATATGATTTTCATTGATATATACTACGTACCATAGAAAGCACACACTGATATATTTTTAGCGAGACAGCAATAGCCCACACCCAATCAACTTATAAATGTATTGTAATTCCATGACCTGATCTAATTTTTATTTTTAATTTGATCCTTACCTAAAATACACCCAACACTGAAAAACATCAACCCTCAATTGACACATATTTTGTCTTTATTCTGAAATCAAGTCAACAACGAGAGTGACTATGTAAATTAAATCCACCACACACTGCACGATACTTCTTTTCAGAGGCACCACTATCAGGGAATTCAAGATGTTAACGAAAATATCACTTATCACCGAACAAGTATCCAAGCGATGAATGTCCCCCAGGAACAGAATTAACTTTTGTCGATGGACGAGTCTGAGTAATTATCAATTGTTGATTTGGAAAGGATTCATAAACAAAATTAAAATAATCAACAGGGTTGAAATTAATTGGTAACAAATATCATAACCATACATAATTATAATTAAGTAAATGTTTAATAAATTGAGAAGCTTACAGTTAGAATGTTTCCCAAGTGTTGGCCTTGAGATCGGTCAATAACTTGGGTGGTAGAAGGAGGAGGAGCAGGAGGAGGGTTTTCGTTGGTGTTTTCGAGGTCAACGCCATAGGGTGGCAATGAAACTGTCTTTGGCGGCGGAGGTTGACTCTGCTGTTCTTCTGATCCAAACAAGTATTTTAAGGAGCTTTGTCCACCACCACTGCTTTCACCTCTACCCATGCTGCTACCCTTCAAGATCTCTGCTACTACTTAATAATTCGCTGATTAAAGGCAAAACTAGCAGGGGCCAGGGGTAACCCTAGATACATATATATACAATGTCCCGGCTTCTTTTTAATTTGCTTCAGTAAACTAATCAAGTCCGTGTAGAGTTTTTATCCAGTTAAATTGGTTAATGGTTAATTCAACCGGTAAATATTACTGAAACCGTTCATTTATAAAGCTTAGGTTCAATTATAGTTTTAGGTTACATCTGAGTACTTAGTTTAATTAATTAGATTTATTCAGTCAGTTGTCACGTAAGAGTTTATATAAGTTTAATTAAACAATTATAGAAATGTACTAAAAAATTATTTTCATAAGTTTTATCATAAATTTTACTTAAAAACATGATAAGAAATCTTTAACTCTTCTTGGATAGTTTTTTAACCTGTTAAATATAAGTTAAATGAAATATTTAAATCAAATATAAAAGTTATTAAACTTATATTAGTGTGAAAAAAAAAATAAAAAAAAAAAAAATATATATATATATATATATATATATCACAATTAAGATTCTATATATATAACAATTAAGGCAAATGATAAGGTAGGCTCCCCTTTAACTTTTTTGTTAAAAAGGGTTTGTTCATAGATGAGTAATAGTTGGAGTTGATGATAATGCAGTGCACCTAATTAGTCATTATTGGGTTTGTAAAATTTGAAAGGGTACGTAATGCATATTGGTATCACCATAGTTAAAAGGAGCGTTGCCCAGGTGTCCTAACCAGACTCACTGGGGACACCCAACTCATATCTCTTTTACTGTCGCAAGAATCATGCATCTATATATCTCCCCACTGGAATGGGATTTGCCGCGCGCGCGATATACATTAACGGAATACAATTATTTTTTTTCTTATTTATTTCTTGTTAAATAATAATTTTCCAACGAAAAAATAATGAGCATCAAGCCAAAAAATGTAAAACAAAAATAATGATGACACATGTAAGGTACACACCTCAAGTAAGAAGACAGACTATTATTATTATTATTATTATTATTATTATTATATACATCCAATTTCTTTTAAATATATATGTCATTGTTACATAGAAGTAAAAAAACAAAAAAGAAGAGAGCAACATTTATACATTGATTAATGATCGTTCGATGGTTAAATGACAAAGCGTATAAATTATTTATTGAACTATTATCTTGTTTTCAGTTTATTACTGACATCTTATTGCTAATTCATTAGTTAATATGTGCGTAATGTTCATTAATAGAGAGAATGCTATTAATATTTCTTAAAATTGAATCCATATATAAGAAATTTGGCGTTCATAAATTATTTTAAAGAAAAATATAATTCAAATATTATTTAAATATTATTCATATGAATTGTTTTTTAGTTAACAAATATTGTTTTAATTTTCTCTTTCTATTCTATTACCTTATTTATTATATATATGGTTATTATATCTTACTAAATATAGTCACACATAATGAATTAAAGTTTTGTTGATGTTATTATTATTATGTCTCTCAGTAAATATGTACACTTAGTGAATATAAAATGCTCTATTTTCTTAATTTATATTCTAGTAAAGTCCCAACAGCATTTCAGCACCAAAGGCCAGACAGCTTTACTTTGATTTCAACATTTTTATATATTATTATATTAAATATTATGAAGATAAGAATGGAATTTAATAGTGTTAGATCAACATAACGTGACTCGCTGCTCTCATCAATAATCTACAATGACACTACCCAATACTTTAAAACGTGGATTTTTTGTTCTTTATTGTTCCCTTAACATTCACCAAAAAAAATCCAATTAATTTGTTGATATATATTGGATTATCTTTTATTCATATATTTTTTAATTGCATTATTAATATAGATATTACAATTTTACACTAATAATGTCATACATCAAATTCATGAATAAAATTACGTTAGTATATAGATTGATATATACTATTAGCATATTAAATGTTAATACAGGCTCAAGCCGTGTATATTAACCGCATCATATCTGTTATGTTAACAGAAACAAGTTTCATATATATTTGGCATTTTTTTATTTGTTATTAGTATATGACATTTTTTTAGTAATTATTATAGATGTCTTCTGATATTAGTGAGAAACAAGAGTGAAAAAATAAGAATACAAATAACGGTATATGAAAATAAGTGTACATATTGAGCTTAGATATTTATTCAAAATAAAAATAATCATGATATATTGAAATTCGTTTGGTCCTTGTATGATAATAGCATAAAACATAAAGCTCTACTCCAATTACATATTGTCATGTGTGCTCGTATAGTCCATACTGGTACATTTTTCACAGCACGAGAGTTATAATTGGCAATCGAAAGAAAGGTAAGCATCTCTTTGGGGAGTATATACCGTAGATGAAAGGAAGGGATAGATTAAGAAAAAGATATAATAAATCATTTGATATTAAAAAATGAGAGAAGATAAAAAATATATATATAATTTTTTTAAGTTAAAACTTATAAAAATAATTTGGTTAATTTTAATTTTTAAGGTATTTTTTAGTAGATTATAAGTATTTTTTGTAGTAGATTATAATTTGAAATAATTTTATGTCAATTAATTCACTTGTTTGGTGATAATTTTAGTTTTTAAAATTAATTTTTAATATTAAACAAATTATATTTACTCTTAAATATATAAATATTTATTTTGGAAAATTAAGAAATAAATTTATTTTAATTATATTATTAAATTTATTAATAATTTAAATATATGTTTTTAAATTATTAAGATTCATTGTCTCACTCTCTTTCACTTAAATAACTTTTTTGTCTTCACTAATGTTTATGCAAAAAAAAATAATTAATGCAGCAAACAATTTATAGAGTCTTATAAAAATCACCTTGCCAAATTCTTAAAAGTATATATATATTTAGGAAAAGATTATCAATGTAGTAAATATTTTTCTCAACAAAAAATTACCACATTTACTTATATCTATTTTTTAAAATAAATGTCTAAGGATATATACATAGTAAAAAATTTAATAAATACAAAAACCATTAAAAATTATAATAGATAATATTATTAATGCATTAAATATTATATAATTTTTAATGAAAATATTGAACATATAAGTTTTTGTGGTGTATTCGTAGGTATATATTAAAAAATTTAAAAATACTTAAAATCACTATGATTGAGGTTAATATACATATTTTTAAAAATAGCAATTTACGCATTAGCAAAGCAGATGTCTCGGTTGCACTAGCAGGTGGCTAGGAGAAGTTGCTCGTGGTCGTGGTGATGCGTAAACGAGGATCACAGGTAAACTAATCGTACGAAAGTGATGATTCATTAATAGAAAAAGTACAAGAAAATAATGTCATTTTGGGCTGCATAATTGACATTCATGAACAAGATCAGGTGGCTTGGGCCAAACTAACATCGTTTTTGCTGCCCTAAGATATTGATTGAATAGGGTTAAATCGTGATAATGATCAGTGCCACTAACCTTTAATAAATAAGGTACGAGTTTTGTTATATCTTTTCAATGATTTTTTATTAAATAAAAATATAAATTGCATACAAAATATTCCAGGTTTTTAATTTAACAATTTAAAACTATGAAGTAAAAGATATTAGAATTATCGATACCGTGGAAAGCGAGAATAATTGTCTGGTGCTGCTGTGGACTTGTAGGGCTAGTAAACCTTTGAAAAACTAACGTGCAAATAAACATCACCGAGTTCGGTTGGCAGGGATCTTGTAGGGCTTAGGAACCCTTTGAATAAATAAAAATAAAAATAAAAAAGAAAAGAAAAGTACAAGGGTCAACCAAACAATAAAAGTCTTTGTCAGAGCTACAATTTCTCTGTCGTCAATAAGCTGATACAAATTTCCACCTGGCTTAAGCGACTATACCTGCATCGCACGCACATCAACACACACACACACACGGTACCTCCAGGTCAAGTTTCCTCTATTATTTTTGTTTCTATTTGTTGCCTCTCTCTTTTGTCATTTTTTTATTATTGAATTAGATACATTTAATTAAATTATTTAAAGTTAATTAACTATTTATTTTGAAGCATTATGGCATATCAATTTTTCCCTTTTTTTATTTAATCCTATTGTTAGTATTTTAATATTAAACTTTTTATTTTTTAATAATTTAAATTTATGATTCACACTTATTTTATTATTAAAAATAATTATTTCATAAAAATTATAAAATGGCTTATACTAAAAACTACTAAAATTTTCTATATATTAAGTTATTAAAAAAAATTAGTTATATGATGCAACAATAATGACAATTCACCCACTTAGGTTTGAGGAGATGAGGAATGTTTCGATCCAAACTTAATACTTTGTTTGAATTCATAAATGTAAAAGAAAAAAAAGGAGAATGGAAGAATATGATACGTGTTAGGCTGAAGGACTAAAAGGGAGTCTCAGGCCTAAAAACTTACTCCTTGAAAAAAAAAAAAACGTAAATGTAGAAGATTTTTTTTTCTTTTTGTATTGTTAAATAATTTTTGTGTGATCAAAATTGAAATTGTGTTGAGAAAAAAAATATCATTAAAAATGTTAAGTTCTTAGTTAAATAAAATTATTATTATTATTATTATAAATAAAGTTGTTTCTATATAATTTATTATTATTTTGTTTTCGCTTGTTTTAAATTAATTAAAGATTTTTTAAATTTCTATTTATTCAAATAATTAATTTTCAATTTTTTTTTTACTTTTTTTTTTCATTTCATCTCTCGAGTTTGATTTCAACGTATATATCCTATGAATTTTGTTAGCTATCAAACATGATAAACAACACTATGCAGAGTTTGTATCTTCTGGTTGTGAAACAAAATAAAATTTGTAAATTTATAATTGAAAGTTTATAATTATATAAGTTATTTATAAAATTAAAATAGTGTCAAACTAATTATATAATTAACTAACTTATGTTAAATGATTTAAAATAACATAATATTATATTAATGTAATTTAAAATTAATTAATACTTATTTTATTTATTTATGATAACACATTAAAAATTTATATAGAAAAATAGATTTTATATTTATATATATT